AGGAAGAAAAAAAAACGACGTGTGGTAAATAGAGAAAGAAAGAAAGAGGAAGAAAGAGAGAGGGAGAGAGAGAGAGAAAGAGAGAGAAAGAAAATTGAGAAAGCAAATAAAGGAAACGTCAGGGTGGAAAGAAGGAAAAATAAAAATCTAACGCGCACTTCGGCCATGTATGAACTTACCTACCTTTTCATTCTTACTACCTTCGTACTACCCTCTCCTTTTTAACTACATTACCACAACCACGACCATCCTTACCCCTATCTACCACCCTATTCTCCCACTACAATTCTTCTCTTCTTTTCCTCCTAAGTCGTCCTGCGTTTTCAACGAATCTCGAAATAACCTTAAAGTCAATTACGTTTCCCATATATATAAATATATATATATATATATATATGTGTATATATATATATGTGTGTATATACAAGGTGTCCAAAAAGTATGTGATCAAATTGATACCACGTATTATTTAGGTCAAAATAAATGAAAAAAAAAAAAAAAAAAAAGAAAAAAAAATATTCACATAAAGGCATTAATTGAAAAATAATTTTTATCGAAAAGATATATGTCTATACTTTTAAAGATATTTATGATTCATTTTCATTTCACTCAGAATTAATGTGATCGTTGAAACTATTTCTTTCTCCTTTTTTTTTTCTTTTTTTTTTTTTTTTGTTTCTCCCTCTGGACTTCTATTGTGTTTATGATGGGGAGGGGACCGAGGAGGAGGGTCACGCATAAAAGTTAGTCTTATATAGAAATACGCGATAGTAATAAAAAAAAAAAAAAATGAACTTTGGGAATCTATTCAAAATGCATTTATTATTATCTTTTCAATTGGAAACGTTGGAATATTAGAAAGATTTCGACAATTCGACTAATATATCGACGAACAGACGAAAGTTTTTCTTTCTTTCAGAGAGATCGAATGATCGAATATTTTTTATTTATACAATCGATAAAATAAATCATGAATATCTTTAAGAACAAATCTATCTTTTCAATAATGCATTTTCTTTTCTTTTTTTTCTTTTTTTTTTTCTTTTTTTTTTTTATAGATAAATTTACCTAAACTTTTTCTGAAATCTTATTTGATCTCAGTAATATTTGATATAAATTTAGTTTCATACTTTTTGGACACCCAGTATATATACAGTATATATATTTTTACTCTCGCAAAGAACACTCGGCGGTGTTACACTCTATGAGTGTCCATAAGTAAGGTGCATTTTCTTTTCTTTTCTTCTTCTTCTTTTTTTTTTTTTTTTTTTCTTTCTTTTCTCAAAGACACAATGTAAGGCGAGTTTTTCCATGGAAAAGAAAAAAAAAGAAGAAAAAAAACAAGGAAAGGAACAAGTCAGGACAAATTTTTTTTTATACGAACATACGTCGCAGTTACACTCAGCAAGAGGTTAAAGGCAAGATGAAATTATGAAATCATGAAATAATGAAAAAGAGATACGAATATTTTTATTCTCAACGCATTTCTTTTCTAAATCCTTTTTTATCGTATACGTCCGGGAGCTTATCAACTTTATTACCCGAAATATATATATATATATGTTGTATTACATACGTTGTAAAAAAAATTTCGAAAAAAAAGAAACCAAGAAAAAAGAAAAAATAACAAGACTCCTTGACGAAACTTGTTTTTCTGACTTCAAAGGAGATATATAAGGATGTGATGGGTCATTGCTTTGTGACCCTTGAATAATCCTTTCAAGAAGTAATACAGCACTAATTTATAACTTAAATATTTATTTGTAAATAACATTTTACATTTTATATTTATATTGTGTACGATTATATAATTCTATCGTAATTATATTATAGAATATATAATTGTATTTCTTTTTTCTTTGTTATATTTTTTTTTTTTCTTTTTATTATTATTATTCCTTTTATTTTTTTAATTATTACCTTTTCTTCTTCTTCTTCTTCTTCTTCTTATTATTATTATTATTATTATTATTATTATTATTATTATTCTTTTTTTTTTCTTTTATTTCTTTTTTTTTAATCCCACATTCTTTTACAACCTTTTCGTTTTCAAAATATTAATAATCCTCGTGGCCTTTTAGAGCAAACCACTATCGAGATATTAAGTTTCAAAGTTGATATGCTCTTATATATACAAAGACCGAGCGTGCACCCACCAAGGTGCACCTTGTTTACTACGATATTGTAACTTCTTTCGAGAGAAAAAAGTCCTCCTTAAATGAAAAATATATTTTATTAGAGTTTTTCCTTTTTCTTTTTTCTTTTCTTATTTCTTTTTTCAAGAAAAGCTCCTCCTTTTTCGTAGCTTTAAATATATGCATTGAAAAATAAAAGACGCCGGGGGTTGAGGGACTTTCGTGGTTGAAGAACTTCGTCTCTGATCTTCGAACGATTAAATTCAAGGTCAAATTATGCAACGTCGTTGTATATACGTAGCCTTTGAAATTTCCAAACTTTTCTAAAAGAAAAAAAAAAGAAAAAAAAGAAAAAAAAAAAAGGAAAAAAAAAACCATTCTCTTTTTGTTTCTCTTTCTTTCTTCCTTTCTTTGAAATTTCTATACGTTACATCATACTTATGCAAAAGGAAATAAGGCAAAAAAAGAAAAAAAAAAAAAAAAGAAGAAGAAATAGAAAATACAATAGAAAAAAAATCTTGCGAAGAAGTAAACACTTCTATTATATATTTCATCACATTAATTAAAAATATTTCAAATATTACAAAGTTTTAAGTGTTAAGTGTCATTGATAATGCCGCTTATGTTCGATCCTTTTAAATGAACTAACGTAACGGGATATGTGTCGAAGAAATAAAGGAAGCAAAAAAAAAAAAAAAAAGAAAAAAAAAAGAAAAAAAAAGAAAAAAAAAGAAAAAGAAAAGAAAAAAAAAGAAAGAAAAGCAAAACGAAAAAAAAAAAAACAAAAAAAAGGTGTCGATCGTTTAACGAGCCATCAATATTTCACTTTGAAGAAATCATTCGTCACCTTTCTCTCTCTCTCTCTCTCTTTTTCTGTGAAATATTCGTAGTTCCAGGAAATCCTTCGTTGGTCAAAGAGAGAGAGAGAGAGAGAGAGAGAGAGAAAGAGAGAAAAAGAAAGAGAGAGAGAGAGAGAGAGAGAGCGATCTTCTCTCTCGTATTTTTCCAGTTCCGTTCTCTTCCCCCACCCAACCACCCACTCACATCCACCCCCACCCCATCCACCCAACCGACCAACCCCGACTTTCGTTCCCCTTCCCATGCCCCACTTCCTGCGAAAGGGAACTGGGAAAACTACAAAGCCCAGTCAATCTCCCATACGAGATAAAAGAGTCACGACGATCACAGAGAAAGGCGGATAAATAGAGGTGGGTTAGAGAACGTTATAGGACCAAACTCCGTATTGTAAATGGCCGTACACGTTTTACCCGTTGGAATAGGTATCGCCAATGAAAGATAGGCCAATGGGATCCTACTACATCCCAACCTAGCCTTGTCTCTTTTCCTCTTTGCATCACTCTCTCACTTTCTCTCTATCTTTCTCTCTCTCTCTCTCTCTCTCTCTCTCACTCTCTCTCCACTCCTCTCCTCAAAATTCTTCTCGTTTTTCGTCTCGACACCGACAAAATAGTCGACCTCTCCCTTTGTAGCGATACACACGAAAATATGCGGATATGTGCTGGTTGGATGGGTGGGTGGAGGGGAGGGGGGAAGGGAAGGATAGAAACGAGCAGGGTGGTGGGTGATGGTGAATGGGGGGTTGATCTCTTCTCTTTCCTATCTTTCATTTTTTTCTGTTTTTTTTTTTTTTTTTTTTTTTTTACAGGTATATATATATATAAATAGACACATACATATGTTTGTATGTGTACATATAAATGTACACGTACAAACACATACACATGTAGTACTACTGTTTCCTTTGATTATTTCAGATATCAGACGTTTAATTTAAAAAAAGCAATGATTTACGTACGTAAATCGAAAACAAAAAAAAAATTAATTATATCAATAATGAAAATACGAAATAAAATTTCTTTATTAAAAATCCGATATTATGTCAAACTTTTATAACGCTATTATTTTTCCATTAATATACGAAGTTTTTAATATATATCATTTTTTTTCTTTTTTTTTTTTTTTAAGTTATACTTAATACAGTATAACGATACCATTATTAATATAATATGTATACTAGATACAATTTCTACGTATAGAATTTATAACGTTTCTTTAAAAAAAAAAAAAAAAAAAAAAAAAAGATAAATTGAATGGGATTTCAATCATTCGAATCGATTTTTTTGATTATTAAATAATGCTATTTCTCTTTTCATTAGGTTTTGCACGTTATAGATGAAGTATTGGAACCAGTACGTTCGATATCACCGGAATCGCCGATCTACAATCCCGATGCCTTTCAATTTATAAATCAAAGTGAAAACTTTAATATGGGCAATCATCGTGTTAGGTAAATATCTATATATCATTATTAATATATATGTATATATTAAATAATTAATTATATTTTCTTTGAATACTCAATATTACACAATTATTAAATTACTATTAATTTATTACATGTACATATCCATCTGTATATATATATATATACATAGATTCATATATTAATTATATATAGGTATATGTATCAATATAAACAAAATTGACTTGTCCTGACATTTTCTAAAAAAATAAAAAAAGAAGAATAAAAAAAGAATCACTAGATCTCGCAATAATCCTAATAGAGACTTTCCGTCTAGGGACATTCTGTATACATGTATAAAAAAAAAATGTATATATATATATATATATACTAACAATAATAATTAATACATAGTACATATTTATGATGAAGTATTATTAACGATTGCACATATAACAATATTAATAATTATTAATAATATTAAAATAATAACCAATTAAAATTTGCAATGAATTACTTTTTCTTTCTTTCTTTCTTTCTTTCATTCTTTTTTTTTTTTGTTTTCCTTCTTTCTTCTTTTCGTTTTCAAGGACCTTCCGACA